GGCAGGGCGGGCGCGCCCGTGGGCAGGCGGGGGCGGGGGGGACAGCGGCGGGGCAGTCACCCCTCGGGACACCTGGAACTACAACCTAGGGAAGGAAAACGCCGGAGGGTGGCAGTGCAGGGTGGGCCCTCTGCATGTGAGGACAGACAGACAGCTAGTGAAGGTTGCAATCCCAAGACATCACTTTTCACCACTAATTTCACTCCACTAAAACCTTTCAGGGAGGGGGGAGAGGGTTAAGAGAAAAAGACACCCTTTTGCTTGAGAAAAACTATCCCCGAAGTCTGCTAGTCAGCTAAATCCTGTGCTCTAGTTTTATACACCTAAGAGGGGAGGGGAGGAGAAGAGGGAGGGGGCCTGGTGGGCTGCTCCCCTCCCAAGGCTTCACTCCGCTGGGAGGAATCTGGGGGCTCTCATTTCGTGTGACAAGGAAACATGGAAAAAAACAAAAACAAAAAACAGTTTCTAAACTCCTTAAATTCACTAAAAACTGTGAAAATTCCCGGCAGGATGTTTGAATATCAAACGCAGATTTTGGAAGCTTTAATGCCAAGAGTTAGTTCTGTATGTTGGTTTTGCTCCTGTCTTCCCGTACGTCTCTATCTGTGCGCTGGCCGCTGAACTGCTGCGGAGGAAGAGGAAGAGGGGGCCGCCAGGGGGTTCCGGCTCTTGAGGCTGGCCACGGCGGGCAAAGCAGAAGTGCCGTCGGTCTCCCGGGAGGATTTGCTGCCTGACGTGCGCCGGGTGCAGCGCGACGACCGGTCTTGGGGGTCAGATTGGTCCTCGCACTCTGTCCTGGGATCGTACGACAGCGGGAAGGTGCGTCGCTCCCAGGGCTGTACAGCCTAAAGGGAAGAGATACCGAGCTACGGAATATCCTCCGGCAAAGCTCTTCTGCTCCCCTCTCACGCGCGAGTCCGGCTGCCCACAGCAGCGCTTGGGGCAGGAACGCGGCTGGGCTGTGCAGCCACGCGCTTAGCCTAGCGGTGCTAACAGCAGGGAAAGCAGCATCTTTAGCACAGGCGGCGAAGACAATGGCAGCCTCCAAACTGAACCAGCCACTGCCAAAACATCCTGCTGCAACGCTGGGCGACACTACGCTCTCCAGCCCGTCCAGCCGAGCGTTTGGACCCAATTTCCTCCCACAGGGAGGCTTCCAAGCTCTTTCCCCACAGCAGGAGGAACGAAACACCAAAGTTTGACCATCAGATTTAGCTTTGCAAATCTGCAGCAGTCGCCGCAGTAAACTGCTGCGCGATGCCACGCAACGCCCGGACCTTCCTGCCAGCCACCAGGAACAAAACTAGAGCAAAGAGCCAAAGGCAGCGCGAGCACCCACCTGCTCATCAAGGCCGGCCTCGGGCGTGGAGCAACGGGTGTCCTCGCTGGACAGAAGCCGCATGGAGTCACGGGACAAGGGAGTGAGGGGGGCAGAGAGCAGTTCGGGGCTGATGGGACTGCGCGGTGAGTGGGTGTGGGACAGCTCCGAGTGGGAGTGGCAGTTGCCCACGTCAGGGGATGCTGGCTGGGGAGTCGAGGGGTTCCCCAGCTGAGGGGTCGTCCGTCCGTCTGTCGATCTGTAAGACCTGAGATAGGAACGTACTCAGGAGTCTGAGTGCAAAGCCAGCGCCGTTACAGCGGCCGCCTCTGTGAGAACGCCACTCACTGCCACCCGACTTCAATCCCTTCCACCATCCCCTCGAGAGCGGCCGCGCAGCGCAGGACGAGGAGGGGCAGGAGGAACTTGGCATGCACAAACAGGGAACTTCTCAGCCCTGAGTGTAAACTCCTCCAGGCTCATCTGCGTCCCATCACCACCGTCCTGATGTACTGCAACACTGACGCTGCTCTCCTAAGCAGACGTGTCCCACACTCATCTCCTACGCTGTTAGTGCTGCAGAAATACAGCAATGAGAAACCACCCCGTGAAACCAGACATTTAAAAACCAGTTTTCTCCAAGTGTTTGCAACATCCACGCGCCACGCGACGCCAGGAAGTTAGCAAGTAACACTGAAAATACAGTAAGTTCAATAGTTGGGTGTAGCAGGAACGCTGCAAAACCTCTAGACTTTAGAAGATTTAAACCAAAAATTAAGGCAGTTTGAGCATCCACACAGATTCCCCAGACGACAGGTCCACAGGCTGCAAAACAAAAAAACCTAAACGAAGCCTCCAAATACATAGGTTATTTCTTCAGGATGAACTGCAACAGAGAGTGGCAATCAAGGACTGCCAAAGATCACGTTCCAAAATGTGCCTGGACCAAGACGTTCATCAGAACATGGAAACCCAGCCACAATTAGACTAATAAAATAGCCTCACCTACAGTAGGCTATATGTAGACACGATGTCTTGAGTCACGATGTAATCTAAACACTGCCACAGGGGAAAAAAAAAACCCATTCTGTTAGATATCTAAGAGGCAGGAAGACCATAAGATGATCAGCAGATCTTCCAAAGCAGGTCACTGAGAGAATGACGTTGCAGGGAAACTAAACGGACCCCAGCCCTTACTGGTATTACCTGGCCCAGGTACTCCAAGGTAGTGAGGAGAAAGGTACTAGCTAAATCACAATCGTCAAGCAGAGGTTACCAGGCTATGAGGGGCTCCATCCATTTCCGAGGAAAGACTGGAGCAGCTGCAGAGAGCAGCCCCAGCATGAAGTCAGGCTGGAACCTGAGGGACTGAGCAAGGACCCTGGGGTCCTGAGAAGGACCTAGGGATACGGTGAACACCAAGCTGAACTTAAGCCAACAGTCACTCTCACTGCAAACACAGCAAACGCTATCCTGGGTTACACCGAGAGGAACACGGCCAGCAGAGCAGCAGGGGTTATTCCTTCTCCTCACTGCTGGGGAGCCGCACTGGGAATCCTGAGCCCAGCCCAGTATCCCCAGTTCAGAGAGATGTGGGGACACCTGAAAGGGTCAAGCGGGAGCTACCAGGATGGTCAGGGGAAGTGAAGGGAGCTGGCACGGTCCATTTTGGCAAAGAGGCTAAGATAGGACCCAAATGCTGCCTGGAAAGGCAGTTAGAGACAACAGTACCAAAAACTCTTTTCAGTAGCAGCAGAAAAAGCCCTCCCAGGAAGGAGGGACTGTCCTGTGACACATCACCAGAGGTGGGAGGATCTCCATCCTTGCAAGTGTTCAAGTCACGGCCAGGCAAAGCCACGGCCAACCTGATCTTCTGCTCGTGATGGCCTTGCTTCAAGTGAAAGGCTAGACTAGAGACCTGCAGAGGTCCCTTCCCACCAGTATTTCTATGCCTGCGAGATGAAGCTTGAATTCACATCGATGAAGTCAGGACGTCGCCGTATCATCTTTCACTAACTTCCTTACAAGAGGTCTTTAGAGAAATGAAGTCATAGTAAAATACAATTGGACGTGAGAAACTGGCTGAAGAAATTTGCAGAGAAATACCAAGACATTCCTTTCTCAGCCAGCACTGAGAAATCTATTTGTATGGACTGACGAAACCCAATGACATGAACGTTTCTGTGGACTAGAACGGATTGGGAATTTCTGATCATGAAGCAACCCAAGACAGCAGCAGATGACATGGAATTTGACAAATGCTAGTTTTGCATTTGCAGAAATTCTTGCAGAAAGCCTGCACTATCTCACACACCTGACTGGGCCTAGACTGAACACAACTAAACTGAAGGGAGGGGTGCACGTTCGCATGCAGTTCAGCAAGAACTTCTGCCCAAGTGGAGAGTGGTTCAAAAGCAAATAGAGCATTAGAAATCAAATGGGAAGCAGTGAACCTCTTCTTACGCGGCTTTATGAAATCAACAGCTGGAAATTGTGCTCAGTGCTAGACACCCACTCACAAAAAGATACTGTAGAAAGAGAATCAAGCGTCAAGTGATCAGAGGAATGGAAGGACACTTATATAAATGGAACTGAAAAACAACTTTGCTGAAGCAATCAAGCAGAGATATACACCGTATAACGTTAGGAGGAACTGCTGTCCCTTGTTCTTCCATTAAGGATACCCAGCTCAGCTCTCGTGTGCCAACGTGGGAATCCCAAGAAAAACAAAAGCCCTCGCTCTTCTCGAACAGTGCTCGAGAAAGGAGACTCCGAATGCACAGTCCAAGAGCTAGTTGTGCCTAAGTAACTTAACTGGGGTGTGTCTTCACCCACCGACTAAGCCAGACTGTATAGCCGCTCCTACAAATTGACTTAGATGGCCTCTCATGCTGCTCTTGCAGATGATGAACAAACTTCCCAATACAGCACAAGCTCTGCTAACCGTTTTTATAGATCAGTCAATTCAATGAAGCCTCCACGGCCTGTTCCCAAGAGCGTCCCTCTGTTGGAAATGACACTTTGGCCAAGAGAAACGCACCACATCCCTGTAGCGCCCGAGTGCTCTAAAGTTCGCTGGGAGCATCCCCCTGCCAACGCCAAGGCCCCCCAGAGGGAAACACGCTCACGAGACCTACCTGCTGCCCCGCCGCTGGGGCGGCATGCTCGTGCTCCAAAGCCACCTAGCCCGCTCCATCTCTTCGCACTTGCCATGTCGAGCAGTGAAGGCCGAATCAGACAAGTCCTCAATCTGCAAAGGGCACGTTACAGAGCTTGGTCAGATCTTTTCACATTAACTGCACAGCTACGTGCAGTTTTTCCAGCATTGGCTACAACATGTATTTAACTAAACATTTATGTCTGGAGGGAGGCAAGTACTATCAGTCAGTCAGAGAATACTTTGTTAAACTGAGTTTGAATTACTTTGGAAGAGACTAAAAACTAAAATTAAAGAAAAGCCACTTATCCCAGACCATTCACATAGACGTTTAAGGAAGTATTATTTATTTCAGTTTATCAAGCACAGTAACTACAGTAGTGCAACTGCTCATGCTGTCTGGATTGGACTCTCTCCATCTCCACAAAAGACTGCTGTCTAGAAAGGTCCCTCGACAGAAGTTAGACCCCAAATTCAGCTGCATACAGCCAGTTATTTCAACTCCTGCCTTACCACTCCTTTCCTGAAAAGGAACCAACACCAGACTGGTTTCTGCAAGGCCAATCACACCATTCTGCTGCAGAACAGGAAAGGAGACTCTATACCTCTCTGCTGAGGTCCCTGTGTACATGTTCTTCCAGCACCCTCCACGGACACTGCTAAACTGCTACCAACCCCATCCTCAGTTAACTTGGAAATTAAGTGGCTATTCTTACCTCCTCACTGTCTTCATCAGAGTTCGCTTTCAGAGCACCAATATCCACCTCACGCCAGCTGAAACACATTAGATTCAGGTCAGTCATCATCACAGCCAAGCGCATCCGAACGTGCAACGTACTCTGCACTCAGTAAGATGCCTTCTTGTCAAGGGAAAAAAAGTTGCAAGTCTGCTGCTGTAAGTGACATGCCGAGGCTAAGTTTTTAAGTCAAACAGTCACACGTGCCTACCAAAATACTCCCCTGTGGTCTTAGACAACAGTTTCCTCACTTCCCATGCTAGCCTGCTCCATTTTGAACAAATCTTTTCACAGAAGCAGAACAGTTTGCACACCCTATCCGGGTGCAGCCCTGGGGGACACGCAGGAGACATGTCCCTCCTTGACCTTCCACCTGGGCCCTCCACACCAGGAGGGTTAGGAGGGAAAAGCAAGACTGTCCCCCCACTGCAGCCCTTCCTTTCTGCCTCCCTGCCCAGATCCTGGCGCTGGTTCAGCACCGCAGCTGGTGAAGCCTGCCAAGGGCAGAGGAAGTAGAGCAGATACTGCAGCATTTCCTCTTCTTCCTTTGGTCTAGCAACAGGCTCCTTTCCTCCCCCACTCTCAACCGGGCCTGAGAAGAGCAAGTAGGACCAGGAAAAGGGAGGGCTGGAGGAAAGAGAAAACCAGAAAAGGAGGACTAGATACTAGACAGTTCGGACGAAGAAACCACCAGTTCTGCAGCAATTTAGTGGACTCTCACCAAGCGTCTGAGTGCAAAAAACAGCAACTGATCTCATCTGTGGTGTTAATCCAAGAACATCCAAACAATGGCTGACAGCTCACCTCCTTGCACTTAGCTTGGGCAGAAAAAACTTCTGATTCCTACTGCTCCCTCCACCCAGGCCTGGGAGCGCTTCTCCTGAACAGCAAGACCCAAGGGCAACTGCCCTCCTCCAGCACTGCGACATTAACTCAGCCCAGACACACACGACACAGCCTAGGCACATGCAGAACTGGGAAAGTCACCAGGACCTTTGGCTCAATGTGCAGCAGCTTCATAATGGGGCAGAGGACAATCAGCCTGACTTTAGATTGCACAAGTAGAGCTGAGCAGAGCAGCTAGCTTTCAGGCACTACAGAGACCCAGACAACACACTACTTAACTCCGTAATAACTCTTCTTAAATGGCTTGACCAGAAATTTTCCAAATAAATAGGATCTTCTCTTACTTTCAAGGAATAAGGAAGTCCCTTTCCTCACCAGCATTAGCCACTGGGAGCAAAGACCCGGGCCAGCCGAATTTCCGACCAGACAAATCCACAGCAAAAGTTTGCCAAGCGACAACCCCACTGGAGTCGGGGATTACACATGTACCTGGGTGTGAGGATCTCTTTATACTGCAGTTTCTCTACACGAGTTGTTGCAGCAACAGACATCGGGATGACGATGTTATTGATATCAAATGAACTTTCTCCTCTCCTCCTCCTTGGCTGCTGTAAAATAAAGCCAAGAACAAGGTGAAAAAGGGACATAGGTTTTGCCACGTTAAGCCATTGACAGAAAAAAGATAAGGCCTCACATGACCTAAAGAGAACCCCAAACCAACAGGAATTTGCACAGGAATGGAGTCCACCTACTGCCTGATGCAAATCCTCTTTCCCCATGGGCACAGGTTTGCAGAACAACCCAAATCCTCAGTCTGGAAGCCATAAATAAGGGCACTGCTCTGCAGCCACCAAGGTGACGTGAACACGGGCCACTAAGGCCCAGCTCCCGTCTCCATGCTGGCACTAGAGTCCTTCTTGCCACTGCACTGCAAGGTGGATCAGGACACTGGTCCAGCCGAAAAACCGATCCAGCAAAAGATGGAAGAGAAGTCTCCCATACAATCCAGTTCCCTACCACCAACGTAAGGAAGGTGGTGAGAATAACAGGGAAGAGCCCCAACCAGCCCTTTTGGCAACAGCCCCCATACCTGTGTCAGAGAAGAAGTGTGGACCTACCACACAGGTGACACTGTGACAAAGAATTTAGAGCAGTCAGACAGTCGCGGTTTCTCTCAGGCTTTGACAGCTGGACTAAGAACCTAACTGCTTCCATCTGTATCTTGCTTTCAACTGGAATAGATTTCCCAGGACTGAAACAAGCTACATGCTATTATCTACTTAAACTTGCTTTAACACTGGGTGCCTTCCTACCATGTCTTTCTGAAAATCTCCCCCCACACACCTCTGACAGCAGCACTCCCTGTACAGCAACCTGAACCTTCACAAATCAGCTTGCTATGCAAACAGCCCACCTTCCGAACAAGGTCACCTGTAATTTACCATCTTATGCCTCTCCTCCAGTCATCAAAGCTGTAAAAACATGCAGGAACCCAACTGCAAGGGACCTGCTACGGGCCAAACACGGGGCCATCCGAAGCAGTGCCAGGACAGAGCAGGCAGGCAGTTGCCATGGCCACGGCACCGAGGAAATCCCAACGCGTCACTGTTAGCGGCGAGGTCGGACCCGCCAATCGAGTAACAAGCGCAAGCCTGTGCTGGACCGGGATGCTCAAACTCAGGACCTGGACCTTTTCCACTCGCTTCTGCTGCCCTTCCAAACCTGTCCCCGAACCAAGAACAAGAGGAGATCCTTCCCCTTGTCACATCTCAAGTTATCAGATGCTGTTCAGTCCCCAAGCAGTAGTGTTCCTGCATTACACGCTCAGCTCAACCTGCTTTAGGTGATGGGACTTTGCCCAGTTTCCTTAATCAAATTCGGATTGAATGCAGTAATGCAGCAGAACTGGTAGCAATAGCACGTAGTAAGGACCATCATTTCTGAAGCAAAATTTTCTGGGGAGCCACAGAAGAAAACAATAAGGACTACAGGTAAGATGGCACAAACAATTACTGCAAGGCAAGTTACAGTGCAGTCAGCTACAGTAAGTCTCTCCTCGCACACACTCACCTCTAAGAATTCAAAACAGCTTATTCCACCTCCTCTAAAGGACAAGTTTGGTGGTATTAGTTTTGGAGTAAGGGCGTGCACATCAGCGGGTACTGCAAAACCACTAAGATCAGATCCAAACCTTAGCCTGCCTTACACTTACGCATATGCCTATACTGCTGGGCTTCTGGAAGAGCACAAAAGGCTTTTTAGGACTGGGACAGGTCACTGAACCTTGGTGATCAGCCAATTTATTTGTCATGTTTTCACAATTAACATTCCCATGAGATCAAATGGGGAAGTCCATACCTCAAAGCTGCAGCTTCAGGCTGTCTGCAAACTCCGGAAGACCGTTTACTCTCAGTTCAAAATGAACACACACAACCATGAAAGCCAAAAACCCCCAGTTTTTCTGACAAAAATGAAGATTGTGCTCATCGCTCTCATGTAACAGTCAAGATGCAAAACGATGTCACAGTCTGCCAGTGGTAAGAACTGAGAAGAGTCTCCCAAAGGAAGCGAAGGAAGTTAGAAACCATCTCACAGGATGCAGTCCATTAACGATATGCTCAGTCCAATCGGGCAGTGATAGGGATGGAGTAGCGTTACCTGGCAGGGTTGCCCCTTTCCCCTCATGTGGACATCTCTGAGTACAGGAGAACATTGTTTCAACGGGATGCTGCTCAATACTGCTCACCGGTGGATCAGTACTGCTCGACAACCTTGCCTTTTAGAATGGGCTTGTCAAAGAGCAGCAGCAAAAAAAAAAAGCAGAAATAAGGGAAGAAATGTGTATGGAAGTACAAAGAAATGCCGTCTTGACACGCTCAGCTGCAGAGAAGGAAAAGAGTTTCCCTCTCCCACAAAACACCTACCACATTCTAGCCAACTAACTACCACTGCTTGCCAGATGCTTTGGAAACCCTACGCAGTCACAGCCAACTTCACTGTTGCATCATCAGGTGTGACATCACTGCGTGGCAACAGTGAAGGACCTCTGCTGCAAAGGACCTCGCCTGGAACCTGGCAGCCCCAGAACATCGAGTTCGATGCAAGGGCAAGGGCGCACATTTGCACTCACGAGTCAGCATATGAACCGAAAGCGGTGCCCTCAGCTCTGGCATGGACAGATGTTCTTAACCACCTCGGGTTCGCTATCATGGTATGGGAGAACCTGTTTCCTTATCCCTGCTCTCAGTCCCCTGGGTCACATGCAGCTTAGGCTGCGGCACAAACTACTAACTGGAGTGGCCACGGACAGAGGCCAGATACCTTTTACGAGGATGCTCAACAGTTCAACAGAATTTACTCCTTTAGACAGGAGGTTCTGTTCACGTGGTCTCAGGCCCTGGGGAGACAGACGTCCGGCAAAGGAACCATGTCGTTCAAGCTATCCCAGAGCACAGCAGAAGGGAGTTATTCTCTTTGTCCACCAATGGCTTGGCTTTTAGACGTTGTTCCGTAAGAGGTCCCAAATCCTGTTAGCCTTTAATATTTTGGGAGGCTGAGGGTGTCTCAGAAGCTGATACTAGTTAAAAAAACTACTAAAGCTTGAGGACAGGTGACAACTAAGATGACATCCAGCACTCATCCACCACAGCCCCGTGGCTCAGTCCCCAACCCCATTTACGGACCAGTGCCCACACGCACAGAAAAGGCCACTGAGGGCACCAGGTGACAGACACCTAAGTAGAAGCACTAACATGTCAGCAGCAGCATGCTGCTGGTGCTCAGCTGTTCTACTCTTTTTCCCGGCATCCCCGGACAACTTCAGAAACAAAATCCAAAGTGGAGCAAGGCCAGGGGACTACTCGGAACAGGAACATTTACCAGCAGCTACTGAATTGACAGTCAACCTGTAATTGCAGCTGACTGGCTCGCTGCACAGTCAATCCCAAAACCCCAGCAGACCCAACACGGAGCAGAAAAAGGCCAGCAATTCTACTATCAGCTGAAACAACAGGTCCAGCACGGGCAAGAGAAACAAGGAGCATTCCCAAGTCTTGTTGCTTGAACTACTCAAAAGCTGAGAGCCCCCAGCAGCCCCCACGTTGGGGCTGAGCTCAGAAGTCTCACCAGAAGGGCCCTAGATACTTACAGCTGTGTTGGAGGCGCCCTGTGAACTTGTACTGGCAGGAGCAGAGCTTTCTGAGGAGGTGGACAGCTGGCGTGCTATAGGGCTATGAGGTGTGGGGGTCACAGCTGCTGACAAGTAGCTTGGGCCACCGACGTCTGTGTGGTGCTTCAACACTATGTGAGGAGGGGAGGAGAAAATGAAGAGTGACGTTAGCAAAAAAAGATCATCTACACCAGAAACGGCCAGTGCTGAGGACCACTCTGCGTGAAAGAGAAGCATCTTCTACCTGCAGCTGCCAGCTTGTCAGGCCCTGCGGGAAGAAGCAGTTAGAGCACACGAGGCATTGCTGCAGTGGTGACAAGGCCCAGAAGCAGTGCGTTCCCCCTTCTCCAAGGCTGAAGGGGGAGAGAGGCTGGATATGCAGCAAAGCCCAAGCTCCCCCCGAGAGACCTGGCCATGGGAGCCTACCTTCACTCCTCTCAGATGAGCAGTCTCGCAATCGCTTTTTGTCATAGGCAGGAGGCTGGACAAGTGAGCGCTCTGGCGCTCTCTCGGCCTTGGACACGGCCGTAAAATCGTCTAAGGGCGGCCTGTGTGCCTTGTCTGGTTGGATTTTTTGATGTGAGCGCTCTGAGGAGGGGAACAGAGAAAGAGCTATGAAACGCCTGTTTTCACCTCTCTTTCTGTTGGTACAGGAGACTTGGGCAGAATTTACCACCTCCATATATCCAGACAGGTCGGGCTCAACACCATCACAGCACTGGACAGATGCAGTCAGACCAGAACGAGCTGTAGTACTGTCCGTGCCAGGAGAATAGCGTGAGCGCAGTCTCAGACTGAGCAGGAAGAGGTCCCTATGAACTGAGACAGGCCTGAACTTCACAACCTGCACACGTTTTACCTTCAGCCCTGGCCTTGTGACACCATGGCCTCATCCTCTTTCCTCCAGAGCGCACTGCTTTAGGGTACAAATCTAGTTAATGTTTCTACACACAACAGAGGTAGGGAAGACGACTTACTGGCTGCAGTGAAGAACGAATTCACCAGCTTGTGGCGGTCCTTGCGAGCAGGGTCAGACAGGCTGCTGGTAGGCATGGGGGCTCTGTGCTTGAGCGAGAGCTTTTTGGGAGGTTTAATTTTCTCATAGGGTTTGTTCTGCCACTGAGATTTCAGCATGCTCTGGAAGTGGAGGCTTGTTGGTACATCTGCAGAGGGATACAAAACATGGCATTCAAATTAACTAAATTACGCACCAGAAAACTGCAGTACCATAATCATCTCCCGGTCCCCCAGCATCTCCCAGCCCTCAGCAAACATAGGAGGCATTCACTCTAAAACCCAGGCTTGCCTTCCTCACGTTCGGGGAGATCCTGCAATTTTAGGACCCAGCGTTTCCAATTTGAAGCTCTTTGAGAGAAGTACATTCTTACATTACTGTATTCATGGCCCAGGTAGAACCTGGCAGGAGAACAAAACCTTTGTCAGAAAAACCATACATCTTTACCACTGAACAGATATCTAATCTATTGCCACACTCGATTCTGCTATCTCAGATCTGACTTCCGAGAATTTTAGATTATCTCAGCACATCAAATCTACAGAGGTAAAGGCTAGAAGAGAGAAATTCCACTTAAATCTTCAGTTTAAGGTCAAGCCAAAAGCCAGCCAAGTACTACAAGAAGTTAATTTGCCCGATGTGGCATCTCTATCATCTAACGAAAGTGGTGCTAAGTGAGCACACTTCAGAGGTTCAAAGAGTAAAACTGCTCTGTCACTCACAGAGAGCTCCCCGAGCAGGGGGCTAGATCACACAGCCATCTGCAAGCACTGCAAACTCGCACGTAATTATCAAGGCAACTGATGCGTTTTGAGTCTGCTGAAGTTTCTGTGCATGCCACAGATCATGCTAACCTGAATTCACGTCTGTAATACAGGCGTGAGATCCAAAGACCTAAATGAGCCCTCTGCATCAGAGGAGAGGTCAGGAGAAAAATAATCCAGTTAGGGAAGGTGTCGCCTGGAGGCCAGGAGCACTGGAGTCCAGTAGGACCCTACCTAAGCTGACAAGTGGGACAAGAAGCCTTCAAGGCACAGGATAAGGAAATCAATTGCTCTACTCCAAAATGCAGCTCTACCTACAAGCAGTAGCATATCCAGGCACAATCGTGTTTATTCCTGAGATCGCTATACACCAGTATGTACTGCTTGACATCCCATCTGTATGCCCTCCTCCCTCCACAGCAGACCACCACCAGCAGGCACACAGCCTACTGCAAGCTCATGCTGCCACCACAACTAGGAGTTAAAAGCACTAAGATGAGCAACAATAGTACAAACAGGAAGATCCCTCCCCCAGATCTCTCAAGCTCACATGACATTTTCAAAGGGCTTTGATGCAATTCTGATCAGAGGTGAACCTTCCCAGGCCCTGCACAAAGGATAAAGCTCCTTCAAAGTCCTGTGCTTGCAGAGGGAACATCAAGGCAATTCTGAACTGTGCTGGGATTTAGAAACTGTATCTAGATAATCTTAGAGAGCAACCCTGTCAGGAGTCTCAACAACTGATATTTGAACACCTTCAAATTTTCCCACCCATTCCAGGCACTGGAAAGTCCCAGCAGATCCAGGACAGGCAAACAGGGCAGAGAGACTTGGCAGAACGCAGGCTGGAGTCTGCTGTTACTAAACAGTGGAAACTTCAGTCCCAGGAAAAAGCCAAGACAGCTGCATTCGTTGACAGTTAAAGCTCTGGTTCAGCCCAATGCTAAGCAGCAAGGGACATCATAGTGCAACGGCAGCTCTTCAGCCATCACTATGGGGCTGTAGAGACATGCCCCAAAGAAGAGAGAGGGTCAAAGCCAGTCCTTTCAAGATACAGCTGACAAGGCTGCAACATTAGGATACTAAAGAGATCTGACTTTGTGAATATGACCTCATTTCTTTGCCAGTCTTTGCCTTCTCCAGCAAATACATCCTAGCCACAGCAGCCCACACATCTGTTGAAGAAGGGGACAGGTTGAAGAGGGGCGGGGGAACACAAGACAACTCATTTTCTGCGAACATTATCTGCCGGTTTTTCACTGCCCTCCTGACAGCACTGGTTGCACCAGAGTCTGGTACAAGCAAGCGACACCATCACTCCTCCTCCTCCTCCGGTTCAGCGGTGCAGGCCTCCCAGGGACCAGCAGATGGCAACCACACTGAGCCTGTGAGCCCCAGCTCACATCCTTCCCACCAAGGTTATTACATCATCTGCAAATTCCCAGCTAGAAATCAGATGAAAAACTGAAAGGAAAGGGACAAAGTGCTTACAAAGCACGAGTGCAACGGGTTAAAAGCCACAATGCAAGCGCCTGCTTGCCAGAAGAAGAAATGATCTTTTTCTTCCTGTGGTGCCTGGCAATTTTGCCCTTGGCAAAGTGCACCGGAGATCCCTGGCTCCTGGCGCTGAAGGAGCCCAAGAGAGACAGACTCAAAGTGAAAGTTAGCACACGCTCACAGCTCTAAGGCCCTGTGTTAGACTTCATCTAACGCATTTCTCCAGAAAGCATTAACTGAGCCTCTGCCCGCCAACCCAATTAATTCAAATTGGCTTGGTCACTTCGAAGGCGAGCCCCTAAAACGATCACGTGGGAGCACCAACTGCAAACGGGATTAACGCAAACAGATGGGGAGACACCTTGATGCACACTGACAACTTCAGGGCACTCCCCTTCCTAAGCGCGCTACCTCGCTGCAGGTTTTGGTAGAAGAGCACCCCACAAAAGCAACCCCAGCAGAACTGGATCTAGTGCTGGGGATAACCAAAACCAAGCAGTCTTGTCTGGCGGGGGGGAGGGAGGAATAGTAACTTCTGCATAGATGTTTTAATACACTTCAATGAACATGCTTCACAGCGTGTAGTTTTAAGAACAAAGTTTTTCATCTCATGCAGCCAGAGCGGATCCTTGAAGAAGTTAACTGGCTGCAGCTGACCCTAAAAACATGGAATCTGAAGTATGGGATGAGGTTATTTGCCTGCCGGCCATGATGTAAGAGTACAGGTTTTTCTCCACTGCTTTCTACAATATTAGATTTAATACTAATAGACAGAAGACGACAAACACTGTAAAATCAGGAAATAACAAACTGAGCTCCTGAAGTAGAGATTTAAGTTCCTTTAGCACTCATTAGGGGGATTTTATATTTAAAATAGCGCTAAATTTACTAGTTTAGTCTGCTTTAATATAGTGCTGTTGAAAGATGTCAGATTGTTTGGCCCATTTTGCAAAGTGAGAAACTAAAGCCCAGACACTCCACACGTTTCCTACCGTTACAGGAAGTCTATGAAAAGCTGGAATTTAAACCCAAACATATGTACTAGTCCCGCGTCTTAACCTGGACCAGCCACTTCACATCCCCGTGAGAGGCAGTAACACATGCTTTGCTCACTGCATTATCAGCCAGTTTTTAACACTTCAAGCGGCCAGACGCTCCCACCGAGGAGAGCAGTTGCTGTGATCTATTTGCTTCCTAGCTCTTCTGATAAAAGTGCCAGTTCCTATCATCTGTGGTCCTGTGTTTTGTGATCAGAGGAAAAAGATGACAGATGGTCACCAAATTTGTCTCATGCAAGCCAACGGGTTTTCGTCAAAGCACAGGGCTGTTTTTAAGTTGGCAGTCCAGGAAGCAAAAGACTCGGGTAACTACTGCTGCTATCATGCCCTTGGGAAAACTCCCTATATACTAAGTCTGTTAATGGCCCACAGTACAGGGTGGGTTTGCTGTTGTTCTTAATGATTACTAACCTTGAAACCGTAACACAGGGAAATGAATGTCCTAATGGGAACGTCCCTTCTTACTGTACCCTCTGAACTATGTACGATCATTCACAATTCCTTACGTGGTCCAAGAAGTTTTCTGCAACTTAAACCGATCCACAAATAATTTTACACAAACAAACTAACTCTGTGGAACCAAGCATTTCCCAACCGGTTTACGACGACACAGACATCAGCCTAAGACTCCAGGCTCAGTACAGACTCCCAGGCACCACGCTCTGCTTCTGCTCTGCACTCCACTCGGAGAGCTGCGCTCCAGGGTCGGGTGCCCATAATAAACACATTCACAGCAGCACAGGCTTCAGGTATAATGCTTTCCCTCAACCTTCCACTCCTGTAAACGCTATGCTCCTAAAACCATCAGCAGATGCATAAACCAAGGTCATAATGTATTGAGCAGATCTGCACTTCCTCTGGAAGCTGATGAAACACAGTAGCGCAGGTTTGGAAGAGCAGGCTCCAAAGCATGCCTAGGTACTGTAGATCCATAACAGCCCATCTCAGGACCCAGTTTTGCAATACCCCCTTGCAGCTCTGTCAGTAGCGCTGTGCTTACCATCAGGGAATGCTAGAACAGGATGAATACATGAGTCCAGCTGGGAGAGGCGCTCCAGCAAAGGGGCATCATACTGGATTTCCAGAGTCGTCGAGCTTCGAGAGCCACAAAGAGCACACGAAGGGTTCACGTCACAGCTACACCGTGCCAGGCTATTACGATGGATCTGGGAAGAGGAGAGAGAAATTTCAACCTATCAGAGGTCAATGCATCTCAGGGTTCTTCTTACACATTTCTCTCTGATAGTTCATGAGAAAAATCCCGAAGGTTGAATTTGTTTTAACACCATGTAGAAAACCTATTGATTTAGTCTGGACTCAAGCCAGGATGCTTTCCTCTCAGAAAAATACAACTTAAAACTACTCCTCACCAACACAATTCAACACCTACTAAATTTAACTAAAAACATTAAACTTCATCTAGACTGAAAACCTCATTTATAAAAGCCACATGAGGCAGCACAATTCAGTTGCCAGAGAGAAGAAAAGCCTTTTGCTCGTCCAGACAAGTCAGAGAGCTATCACTATGCCAAGAGTTGACACTTACAGGGACATCTTCACAGAGTGAAAAAGGGTGTTTTCAATCTTGCTTCTTAAACCAAGACGGACTTTCAATTCACAGATTTATAGACTCTTATAGACTTTCTTTATAGGAAACCACTGTAGTGCAGTGGTTAACTGTACAGAGACAGTTAACCAATGAACGACAGTCAAAATGGAAGGATATATCAAATTGGATCCTGTAGAAGTCTGTTTCAAGTGTAGCATTATTCAAATTAATTTCCATTAGTAACTTTAGGATGTTCTCTCTTCCATCATTCAAGTCTGCAGATAACACTAGAACTGGGAAGGGTTGTGAGCACCTTGAAGGAAAGGGTTAGGATTACAGTTATCGTTACAAATCAGAGAAATGATCTAAAATAACCCAAATGTAATTCAGTAAGGGCAAATGCGACAAGCTCTACTTTGGCAGACACACTTCAGTGACTGGTGAAGGAGGGGGGAAGAGCTAACTGAGCAGCAGCTTTGCAGAGAGGATCTGGTGGTTGTTATAGATCAGAAAACGAGCATGAATCAGCAATGTCATACTATTACCGAGAATTAACACCCCAGAGGGCTTTATAAACAGGATGGCTGTGCAAGACAAATGAGGTAATCCTTCCATTCTGCTTGGCATTAGTAACATGTAAGCTGGAGGGCTGCACCCAGTTTTGGCCACGCATTTCAAGAAATATATGGACCAAATGGAAGAGAATCCAGAGGAAAGCAGCACAAACGACAAGATCCAGACAACACGACCTATGCGGAAAAACTGGAAGACCTGCATTCATTTAGTGTAGAGACAACCCGATCAGGACTCACCACATCGACTTTCAAAACACAGGGAGAGCTGCTGGAGTGAGGAATGGAGGTGATCAGTTATATCAGGACTTGGACCACCAGTAATGACTTTAAATAGCAGGACAGGCAGCTCATATTAGAAAGTCTGGTTTGCTTGGTTTTGCTGTCTGGAAAAACAAGACTATCTAAGCGCTGAAATAGCTTGCCTAAGGAGGTTTAGACCGTCTGGCGCGGTGTGGGGACAAGACAGTCGGCCCTGGGGCACAGGGATGCTGTAGATGACTGTAGGTCACTTCCAGTCCTGTTCCACTGATCAGACATCATGTCCCAACTTAAAAGATTCTGAGCGATGCTGTATTCAGATTTTTGTCAACGCTATACACAGTTATGGACGGTCTCCTCTATTAAAGCAGTGAATTCTCCCAGGTGTGCTATCTGGCACACCTTTCCTTCTTTGGAACCACTCTTCTGAACCCTCTCTGATTTTTTAATGGATTTGACAGATACAGACAAGAGCTAAGAGAATTAGCAGACCCTTTCTCAAACACTTAGCGCCTGAGTTGGCACTACTTATGGGATATTTCATAATCTTCCAAACCACTGAAGATCTTGAAAGCACTCATTGCAGAGCTCAACTAGAAATACTCCAAATTAACTGCTTACTCATTTGCAGTTTTAAGCTAACTCAGCTGAGCAGGAATCTATCTTGCTGATCAAAACACTGCTTTTTGGGCTTCTCTCTAAAGCTCTAGCACTGTCAGACTGAAACCCCTTGAAACCCTATGGTAACGAAGTTTGGCTTTAAATACTTTTGGCTTAAAGGTAACTAAGTGGATTTGTTCCGTTCATGGTTCTGTAATCAGGAGAGCTACGTGTGTGGAAGGGGGACCTCACTCCCTCAATTTCTAATCATCTATCCTTCAGCTGACAGCTTATGGCAGTTATAAAAGAAATTTAAAAGAATGAAATATAGCCTTTCCCCATAACAGGAGGCCCAGGGAATAAACCTTATGTCCACTGTACACTCAGGAACTTTCCTTTGCCTAAGGGCTCAAGGAAAGACTATGTGGAGAAGAGTATATAAATGAACAAAATAAATAAAACCCAGAAATATAGTCAAGGCATTTAGTGATTTCCAATGTATGTGTGGAAGCAAACATGATCACCTCAGCAGGCCACTTGCAAGACATCCCACATATGCCTAGCCAGACAACTGTAGTCTTTCTTTGAGCAAGTAGCAGCAAGTTCCTGGGTCTGTGTTAATTCCTGTGCTCAAAGTTAAAGCTTTCTAATACTTGACTTTCCAAAGTTTCACTCTACTGCTCAGATTTTACCAAACTGAACTACCGGGAAAGAAATGTACACCTTAGGATGGTTGGTGTAAAAGAACCCTCCTCTCCAAATTCAGCATCGACTCTCCACAGCGATAGCTAACTCAAGTTTTCCCAACAGATGAAAAGCTTCTCCTTCAGTTCTCCAACATCCTATGAAGCTTCACTGCCCTCCTCTTCTCCACTTCCTTCCCGCTTTTTTTTTTTTTTTAAAATAAAACAAAAACACAGCAGTCCTCTTAATAGCCACAAACATTCCCAAAGCAGGGAGACCATCGTGTGCAAAGAGAAAAAGTACACTGGACTAACGTGTCAGTAGGCCTTTTGGTGTGGAGCCTTTGAAATATATGGCAAAGAATCACTATCAAAAGAAAAAAAAACAGGCAACAATACTAACCTTTTTGGAAAGGGGCATAATGCTGCTAGGTCGGACAAGCCGCCGCTTCTTACAGCTCAGTACTGGGCGAGTGCGAGCTGCTACACATGTTCCATCAGAAGATGAGGAAACCATGTTCAGTCGTTGCTTTTTATGCAAGAGCTCCTCAGCTTCTGGGCCATCTCCCTGAGCATGTTCTGCCAGGCCAGGCTGAAGCCTATCCAGGAACAGAAGAGATTAAGATGCTTTTATTCATTCAACCATCCTATGTTACCCAGCAATACTAGCCAGGGTCACAACTCAGAACAACTCTAAGCAGTGAGATTAAAAGCATTATAGTTTCACAAGGAAACAGTTTTTATTAAGCCAACTCTAATTTTGCTTTTACTTTGGCCACTTTCCACATTCTCTCCCACCTCTCAAAAACCTGTTTGACCCCGCTCTTGCCCTGAATAGCTTTGATCCTAAGAATTCAGCCTCCCCAAAATAACAGATCAGGGTACTTCAGGGCAATGGCTTCCCATGAGTCTAAGTGCCAGTGAGTACAAGGCAGAAAACTTAAAATTTTCTTGAACAAACATGTAATCTAAACGCCAATTCGATTCTGATTTATACTCAAGACTTGCAATGTTCACATTAACCCTGTTTTATATAGTATGAAGTTTCCTGTCCCCATGCACTAACCCTGCCCCACTGTGGTATCAATGTACTATGCCACCTACCAAATCCCAGCACAGCTCCCCATCCACAGAGACTTTTCACGTATATTCTGCAAGCGTTTCATAACTAAAAATGCAAAACACTAAAGCCCTGTGGTCCAAGGCTCTGTAGTTCAAAGGCTACAGGCGTATAAAGGGCTCTGTTATAGCCTGCAGTGTTTCAGCTGTAGCAATGAGTTAGTTCATCAGTGCTTTCTGTGCTTGCTCACTCTGCACCGGTGCAGCATCCCTGCCCACGGTACGGAGCAAATGCAATGGTCCTGGCAACAGTTCACTAGCCGCTACCAGAACTTCAAAGCACCCTGTGTTCAAGGTCTGTGAGTGGTTCAACCCTGAAACCCTGTAGTGTAGGAGAATTTTTCACTTGTTTTTATTTACCCACTTAAAAAAAAACTTTCCTAAGTAAAACAACCTAGGGGAACAAAGAAATTAAAGAAACGTATTCCCACTGAAGTCAATAGGAATTAGGTTCCTCCGCATCTCCAGAGAAGTGGGTCAGTGGTTACAGATACTTTACAAAATAACAGCAAGCAGCCCTCTGGTACCTTTGAATCATACAATTTGCATGCGTATTAAAAATACTCATAAAGAAATGGTTTTGAACATGATCATTACATGGTGGCCTGCACAGTTTGTTCATATAAACATAATTTAGTTTAATACCATTTTCAGAAAAAACAATGCAGCATAAAACCTTATGCAGAGCAGTCTCCTCCAGCCCTGTTTCCAAGCATGATCCGCTACTGAAATAAGCAGTGGCACTCCGCTTTTTCAAAAAGAAACCATTTATACAGTTTCCAACCCAGTTACTACCAACCAGTAAGTTACAGGTCGGTTCACAATGGGACTATTGTCAAAATCACCAAGCCAACTCTTTCCATGTTATGCAAGAACCTTACGTGTTAATAACTCCATTGACGGGTCTTGGTGCTCCACAGGGCTTGGCAGGATGGGATTCAGGCGTATTTGCAGCAGAAACACCCAGGTTCTCTAGTGGCTGGGATCCAGAAACACTCTAAAGGAAGGATGAGAAAGATTGTAACAGATAAGCTTCCTAAACAGACACAACTTCCTTATCCCCAGTTTTCAGTTGAAGACTCTGCACCAGAGCTACAGGTTTCCATACGCAACTTCAAACCAAGGGTTCAGAAGTCAGCAGGGGAACAAGAGATTGGAGTAGTAAGGACTTCTGAGAGAGCAGCTCTGGCAAGCGGATGGATACGCTATAGCGCTTTCACAAAGAATTTCAATTCCCCTCAGGTAACCACTAAGGAGCATGAAACACACAGCTGCCAACAACAAAGCAAACCAAGCAATGAGGTCTTTAAAGAGATTTTAGCATTTGTCTCAATAGTGCAAAGAAGTTCAAAACCACCTGTAAACCTTGCAGGCTGCTTCTGAAGTTTGATACTCTGTGCTGCAGAGAAGAGCTCTGCAGCCACGTGGCTTAAGCACTTTGGGGGAAACAGGAGGAAAGGGAGCAGAGAACAGACTTGCAAACCCAAATTTGCATTTTAACTGAGTACCCGTGCAATCATGGTCCAAATAGTACTTTTAAAAATATTTTAAATCGGTATGCAGGTAAGTTGTAGTTTTTGCATAGAAGCAGACTAAGTTGTAGTTTTTGCATAGAAGCAGACCAACTCTATTAAGCTAAAACTGTCTGATATACACCAAGCGTTTGCTGGAAAGACCTTTCTCGGAGGAAAATAAGTAAAAACTAAGCTAAAGATACATACCTCTCTCCTCCTTTCTGCCTCTAGTCTGAAATACAGACAAACCTTCTCGCTCCCTGCTGAGTGATAGTTGCTGTGTGGCTACAATACCCCGAGGGGCCGATATGTCACACTTCCCACCGGCCTGCAATGGCCTACGTGGGGGGAGACTGTCACTCCAGCTTCCGAGAAAACAGTGGCTTCCTACCCTAGCAGATGCCAGTGTGGTGCAGCGCGTTCATCCCCTTCACCCTGGCACTCCTCTCTAAGTCGCATCCTCTCAGCCCCTCTTTTTTCTTTTCAGACAAGCTCCTCCTCTTCCCTGGGGTTAACGCTTTGTTTCTTCCTTCAACCATCCTTTTGCAACACTTCCTACACTTGCTGCCAATGCCTCTCTAGCTGGATTTCCCCCTGTGCACAAACAGGAATGGTCATGCATCTCAAGCGCTGGCCAGAAGGACAAAAGAAAAAGTCTGATTTAGCTATTTAGGAGTCGGTCAGCCACTCTTGTCACATACTCCGTTTTCAAAAGCATGGGCATCCTGTGAGTAAGATCTTCCCTATTATCGCTCGCCAAACTTGATCGACAAGCAAAAAACCAGGCTACAGTAGCTCTGGACTAACTGTTTCCAGAAGTGAGTCAGGTCTCTACTAAGGGAAGAACAATTTATGACAACATGAAGAACTTCTGCCCACTGCCTATTTGAGGAACTTTGCTGGGTTTTCTACGCTTCTGCTAAAGACATGTTTCTTCTAGGGGGGACGGAGGCAGGACCAAACTGTATCTGGTGTTTGGGCAGTGAAGGCTGCCGCCGCGAACGAGGTGCGGATCAGAGAGCACTGAAGCGTTGCACAAGCCCAATGCTGAACCCTGGCAAGGCAAAGTCAGCGCAAGATCTGAATGCTTTCCCTCTAGTTTTCAGAGGCTTGGCAAGCTTGAGCAATCACATGACAGCTCCTTTGGAGGCATGCACAGTTCAGGAGGGCGGGTACACATGACTCATAAGCGCTTTTGAAACAGGGTATTTATTTTCTTCTCCAGAAAGAGCCTTAAAAGAGGAACCTCTTCTCCAAGAACTCCGGCTTGATTATTCAAGATAGGAACACAGGGTGACCTCCTCCTTCCCGAGGAGGAGCTGGAAAACGTCAATCCAAAGTCGATTTTATCAGAAACATTCCAGTCTCACCCAATCACTCTGAATACGGATGTACCCTAACAGGATGGATAAGCAGGATGCCAAGTACTCAACGTTTCGAGTATGTTTGGGATCTGGAAGCCCAGGTCTTTATGATCCCTAGGGCTCTTAGGGGAGACAAAGATTCAACTTTAGAGGCCTGTTGGCTGCACGTGACCCCAGAAGCTTGCTAACCGCCAGGGCCTCTCAGAGCAGTGAAGAAGCTGTTACACAAGTGTGTGCTGTCAGAGGGAGAGTCAGGACCCAGCACCAGCAACGCCTTCAGGATCCCACCCCATCTCCTCCGCCTGCCCCGCAGGCTCCGCAAAACAAGTTCAGAATTTCTCCTATTTCTCCCCCAAACACAGAGAAAAGTCCTACCAAGAAACTCCATCAACAGCGTCTCTCGTTTATTATTAAGAATTTCAAGCTCAGTAGCACATCAAATAACGAACAGATATCAACAGCTGAACTGTTGCTTCTTCAGGGCTTCACATTACTCCTGTCATCAGGCAAAAACCCTGCTATTCACACACTGAGTTTGCAGGTCTGAACTGAAAGCTGACAACAGACATTTCCAGGCCTTCTTTATAAAGTCTTTCCCTTCGCTGACAATTTAATTAATTCCTCCTAGGGATTATCAACCACACTGCACATATCAAGCCGATGCCTTAGGACACGTATCACGGATTACAATTCTCCAGAACACGCTCCGGCCAAAGGAGATGCCTACGAGTGGAAGAGATCCAAGCAGCCAAGAGCTGGGAACGAGCTGGGATGGATTCACTCCCCTTACCCTACATCATAGCACCTCTCTCCTGCTCTCCTGGTTTGCTCTGAAGATGGCCAAATTCAAAGCTGCTCCAAGCGCACCAAACACCAGGCACCTCTCCAGTAGAGGCCTACGACAGACACTCTTCTAGCAAGTGTCCTAATGCAAGAGGAATGGTCTCTGGACTTAATCTCCGGCTCTGAGCGGATCAAACCTCTGACTCAACACCCCACCCTTATGAGCAAGCCTCATTTAGCACAAACCCTCCTGCAGGAGCACACAAACGCTTGGTGCCCGAAGGCAACGTTTCCTGTGGCTAACACCTTCAGCGCTGCTGCAGCAGCAGGCAGCGCCCAGAGGTTACACGTACGCTTTTACCAACGGCCACGTGTGGAAATGGAATAAAAAGCCCATCTCAAGAGGAATTACCTTCCAATAGCAACAAGAGCGGCTGCAAAAGTATCTATATAAGAAGATGCCAGGTAGTAACCTGGAGCCTGCTTTACACTGAAAATGTTATTCTTCACTGCGCTCGGTATCTATTATTTGTATCGCTGCTACCCCAAGGCCTCCGAGAGAGATCGGATCTCCACAGCCTTAGCAGTGTATTAAAAAAAGTCCCTGTCTGAAGAGCTTATATCCAAGTAAAAAAAAGAAAAAAAACCCGACAAAACCGGAAGCAAATAAACAAAGCAACGGCGAGATGGTGCTGAGCAGCATAAACAGAGGCAGCACACTACCCAAAGAGGCACCATCTCTTCTACGCATCGGGAAGGTATAGAAGTTTTCTTTTCTATATGCACAGAGATGATGTCAAAGGCAGAATCTAAAAAAGGGCAACACAAAGATTTTGCAGGTATTTATGGAAAATGTCTTGCATGAGTAGGGGCGAATCAAAAGGGACACAAGTCCTTCCTTCTGCAGATCACCAAACTGAAAATAGACTTGCGTCAGATAAACATCCTGATTTAAATAAATAGATAAGAGAAATAAGATTTTCTTCCTATCCCGGTTAAATTTGATTGTTTATCTCAGTTATCAGGCTGCTATTTACAGATTAGCTCACAAATAGCAGCCAATTCATCACTGAAGGAGCTTACTATTTCTGAACAGAATCAGAGGACGCCGTCGCAGTGTTTGTTTATTACTCCCTGAGCACTTTTGGGGTTAAAACATAAAGGGGGGGGGGGGGGCAAAGAGACAAACTTT